AGCTCTCACTGCAAACTAGGCACTCGTGCCTCATTTGTCTATGTTTCTGTTGTTGGACAATCATAGAATCATAGAATATTCACAAGAATCACTGAGTCCTGCACAGGACATCCCCAAGAGTCAAACCATGAGCCTGTTCCAGTGCCCAACCCTGCTCTGGGTGAAGAACCTTTCCCTAATATTCAGCCTTAACCTCCTCTGACACAGCTTCAGGTCATTCCCTTGAGTCCTATGGCTGGTCAAGAATGAGAAGAAATCAGTGCCTGCCCCTCTGCTCCTTGTGAGGAAGAGTATTTTCTCAACACATTGAACATTTTTCAATGCTTCTGTGTGTTAGTGAGAGAGCTGAAGAAATTCTGAGTGCATTTGGAGGAAGCACTCATTAAGGTCTTGGATATCTAGCACAAGATGTCTTATTGGAATTCTGATAACAAAGTGCTTTGAAATGTAAATGAAAAATCAAATGTCCTCTGACACTCTGGTGTCTTCAGACCTGAAAGAAATGGAAGGGTCAGAAACTGTATATACATCTGGGACACAAAGGGAGGTGAAAAGTGAAGCTAAGCATTTTGTCATATTTCATTATCCAGGACAGCATTTTCCAAGGCAGATACCTGAAAGGAACAAGATTAAAGAAAGAAAGGAATGTATAACATTCAGTCCTAAAACTGGCAAGTTTTCATAGCTGTGTTTGAACAAGGAATTAATATCAGTGACAAGCTGTATGACCTGCCCTGTAATGACTCAGGTGTGTGACCACAGGTCTCTCTCTTACCTGACTCACCACCAGACCCTTGTCACTGTAGAGAGACCATCTAAGGTTTGTAAACCCAGAGCTGAGCAGCCACATCCTGCCAGCCATGGAACTCTGTGACAGGGAATGGTAGATTGCCAGTTACACAATCAGGAGTCCTTTTGGGTGAAGAGCACTACACTCAGCTTCCCACAGCGCTGCAAAGTTCTCAATACCACCATTTTCATGTGCAGCATAATAACCTGTCAGCTCCAGACAGACAACTGAAACAAAAGTGGTATTTGTTCTTTCACTGCCATTACAGGACAAGCAGTCTAGCTGGATTTGTGCACTGTAGGATTATATCGATTTTCTGAAAGCAATCACAATAAGGCATATTATACAAGACATAGCAGCCAGACCAAAGAAGTCTATTTACAGAAATAACTATGGGAGGAAAAATGCAAATCATACAATACTATGCCTATTTCCATGGATGTAAAGAAATGTCTTAGGGGACAAATTAAATAAATCATATCACAGTTATGTCTCACTTGCTTGTTAAAGTATTCAAATAATTACATTACTGTGTTAGGAGTATTATTCAATCTTCTTTTAATATATTTTGGCCCATATGTAAAGCTTTTTTTCATAATTTGTGAATGTACTCTGGTAAAAGTAATCACATATAGTGATAGATGAATGACCTGTGATCTTCATCTAGTTAGCTAGTTTTTCCTTCAAGCCGTGTGATGTTTTTATCTTAGAAATCAATTATAAACTCAGCACCATGTAATTATTTTAGCTGTCTGAACACATTGCTATTTTATGGCATCTAAGAAATCAATGTGGCATTGGTGAATATGGCCCAGGACCTTCAAAATGTCTTCAGCCACGTAGAAGCTACAGGGAAAACAAGGTGAACCAGGGCATTTCAAGTGCAGGAGAGATCTGTGTTTAGGAAGCTGAACCAAGATGCTTTTCAGAAGAATTGCTGTTTTAACTTCCTTGCTCACATTTTTAAGAAAAGTCAGGAGCATAGACAATGGCTGAAAACCCTTCACCTGTTCATTCCAGCCTCACATAAAGCAAGAAAATCGGTTTTAAAGATCACAACCTGGACCTGTCAAGAGATACACCAGATGGTAACTCAGCCTCATCTCTTTCTTGGCTATTTTATTACGCTGTATTATTTTGTACCTCCTTAGCCTACTGAACAGGAAGAAATGTGAGTATTTTGAACATTTTTGATGCCATATTCTCTACCTAAAGACATACAAATGTAACAGGCACGCTTTATGTGTATGCCCTTTAAAAGATGCATGCTTCCCTTGACAAGAAACAGGCTAATTAAAAAATCATCCTTCCCTTAGGCTTTAAGTTGCTGCCAGTCACAAAAATATCCTGAATTTGAATAATCAGAGTTACACACACTATTCCAGATATGATCACATAAGTACCTTATGCAAAGCCACTGACATCTCCCTGTATCTATCAGAATCAGTTCTTTCTCTTTTTCACATGACATTAGTGGGTATAATCACACACTTCTCCCTCGGTACCCTTCCATCTCTTTTTCTTCTACTGTCACTTCTAAATTATGAGTTTCCAGTTATTACACAAATACCTGCAATTAATCCTGGCAGACATTACTTATCCTTTCAGCCTACCTCTATTTTATGTGGTCTGGAGGCTGCTCTATTATCCCCTTCTTTCATTTGAGTCTTGTTGTGCTGGTAATAGCTCCTTGTTTTGTGCCATCAACAGATGTAATTTCTTCTTCTCTGTGCTAAGATCTTCAATGAAAATACTGAATCAAAGTGGTCCTCAGCTTCAGTTTCTGTTCTACTTAGCCTGTGCATCTCACCCATGCCCACAAAACAGAATTCAAGTATGTGATCTGCTCATACATACCGAGTGTGCAGACCTACAAGAATAGCTTCTTTATTTGGTATATTTATCAATTTTCTCTCCCTCTGTACTGAAGTTAAGGAGGAATATTACATGTGAGGAAACCTAAACAGTCCATTTAAAGCTGTTACTGAAAATGTCTCAGATTTCATCCTACAAGGTCTGTGCCCCAGGTACTCAGGTAGAGTTAGAACACAAGAGTGGTTTTCCCATCAAGATGATGACAGGTCTACAAGTCTTTCTTGTAAAACAGATCTTGGCCCATTGCTGGGTTAGTCCAGACTTTTGGGGCTTTTTCCTAGGCATAGGGAAAATGCTGTGAAAAATCACAGGAAACATGTTTGTGCTGAGTCATTTCAGCAAAAATCTTCTTTTCTGATTATCTTCCCAGTGAAGACCACCTCCTTCCCCCCAGACAGCTTTGATGTCCAGACTGGATATTAGCAGCAAGTTCCCAGTGCATTATGCTACCTCCAGGTGCTGGTATGGCTTTCAAATTCTCTTCCTCCCCGTTCTTCCCCCAGCCTGCAGCTTATTCTGGACTCTTCTTCCAGTGTGTCCCATATCAAAATACAAACCCGGGCTTTTTCTTGAAAGCTCCATTTACCCAGCAAATTTTTCTGGAATTACATCTATAGGGAATGGTATGCAAAGAGGGAATAAAAAAGTACTACAAGACCTCTGGCTGGGACACTCTCCCAGATTACTGCAACAAAGGATTAGAGGCTTTCTGAGCTGACTATAGCATGCAGTTCAACATGTTTGAAATCAGCTAATGAATCTACCCTCCATCAGCTTTTCTAACTGCTTCTATTTTAGTCTTTTAAATGTTCTGTTGGCACTGAGAGTCACAATTTGATTACACACTCTAATGAAAAAAAAAAAAAAAAAGTGCTTTCTCTTGCATTACTTGGTTTTAATCTGCTGCTTGTAACCTCATTAAATGCCTTCTGATTCTGCCATTATAAGAAACAGAGAATAATCATTTTCTATCCATTTTCAACAGAGTATTCAGAGATTTTTATCATAGTCATATCTTTTCAAACCTGAGCAATTCTTTCTTGTATCATTTCTGGAATATAAGCAATAGCTTTCACAGCTGTTGTCCTTGTCTACAGAAATGTTGATTCCTATTATATACTTCTATCCTGGAATTATCTTTAATGTACATGGGTGTTAAGCTGAAGGCACTTCTTACATTCCTTGCATTCATACAGTGACATAAAGGAACTTTATTGGAGAAAGTGAAATCTCAAAATGTAGTGTTATATTCATAAAATAATAACTCTTACAGCTAATAAGTCTCTGATATTTGTCTTTAGCATAATATCCTAGTTAACATACAGGATTCTCAAATATAATATGGACAAGAACTGACTTCCACATACTGGAGTTATTTAAATTACCATCTAAAAATTTCAGGATAATTTTCTGGACTAATTTTCAAGACAGGAATAGACAAATTATCAGTCTCCTTCCTAGAAAATATTCACCAGATTTAAAGCCAGCAAAAATCCCTGAAATTTCAGGATAGGTTAGACTTTCCTTAGCTTTAGCCATGTAAGAGTGAGGCATATTTAGAACAAAAATGCCAGAATCAACACCCCAACAACACATAGAATTGATTGAAATTCTGTTTTCTCCCAGCAGCACATTTTGCAGAAAAATATTGCAGCCAATTCTAGTTAATGGTCTTCTGTAAAAAACAGCAGAGCAGAATGAGTCATTTTCTCACTTGGGGATATAGAAAAAATTATGAAGGAATGCAAAAGTGGGCAACACAAACAGCATTTGTCAAACTCACAACACTAGAACACACCAGCTTCCTTTGTTTCTGCACTGGTAGCAAGGAGCTGGTGCTGGGATTCCCTTACAATGTCACCTGTTCTCTCACTCTGTTCTCCAGGAAGGAAATCTGATCTGCTCTGTTGTTATACAGAACCAAGAACTGAACAATCACTGAAATCAGCTGTTGTAGTATCACCCACACCAGACATTTTTTTCCCCCAACATTCTGTTAAATTTCTTGAGAAGCTCTGTCTCAAAATACCAGAAGTTCAGTCAAGAAAAAAGGTTTTAATAAGGTTTTAGCATGGCCATGTCCATGAAAACCAAAGATTACATATCAAGGAATATACATAAAATGTATTCAAGCATTTTGTTATAACATATTTTACTGGTTTATTTTTTGAAAATAAATTTGGATTTGGGTTAAAAGGTGAGGGTTTTCCCCCACAAATACCTTCACTGACTTCTTGGACTGTTCCCACTGTATTGGAGTTTAGTATGTTTAAATTCTGCTCTCCATAGGTAAACTATAAACAGGAAAAAAAAAGCAAATTTCAATGATTCTTCATTACTTTTAATAGACTTGCATGATTTATTGATGTAAATATATTTCAAATAACTGGTTGGACATTTAAGGGCAAATAAAATGTTTTTTCTTTAACAGACATCTTGGAAATGAACAGTATAAATAGAACATAGTCATCACCACTTTATTTTATGCCATTCCAATCTACTATCAATTTCTTTTCCTATACAAACTTTTTTGTAGGCTTGAATACCTAGAAAACTTGCATAATGAAGCATGTTATTTACACTGTGTATGAGTCACAAATAATTACAAATAAAAAGAATACAAAATGATTAAAATGTATCATTACATGAAAAGCAAGGAAGATATAGTAGATGTTCTGATTAACTATAAATGCTTACATATTTGTACATACATTTATAATCTGAAATTGCTAGATGATATATCTGATGATTTTGATCAGGAATACTAGTTCTTATGCTTGCATTACTGGAGAGGAAGCAATATTTTCAGACATAATGAGCCACTTAAGAAACATTTATGGAACTGCATAGGATGAAATGTACTCATTTTAAAAAACAAAAATAAAATATTTGACATTGCAAAATATAAGCATTTTCACTCATGCCATTGAGATACATTGTATATAAAATCAATAGTGTAATATGGCATCGCAAATAAATCATAACAGAGCTATATAACATTTTAAAAATAAGCAACGTACATGGCATTTGTATCATAAAATAGCAGATGTACAGTATTATTTACAGTGCAAACCAAAGAGAGAAAAACCTCATGAAACTGCAGCAAACAAACTGTTCAAAACACTGATCACAGACCTGATTCATAAAATATGTAGGCATGTGTGTAGGATGTGTGCAAAACCAGTCCTGGACATGTGTTTGTGAAGGCTTACGACCACTCCTGGTCAGTCCTGATTCACAAAAACATTCGAAGTTCCTACCACAAAACCTTGCTGGAAACTGAACCCTTTTTGCCAAGACCCAGCAGGGAATTTGGGTATTGACCACTTCAGTAACCAATCTTTAAACAGTGGTTATTAAAGTCAAACACCTCCTGCCCCGTGGCAGTATTATAGCTGCTCAGGATAAAATTTACATATGGAAACTGAGATAGAACTCCTGTGAGATGGCTGATCAGCATTGACCACTGAATTTGAATGGTTTTAGTTCCACCTATGGAATATAAAATTTGATAAATGAGCTCTGCCTCACAATTGCCCTAATTTGTTTCTTTTTTCCTTTCCATCTTATTTTCCTCTATTTCTAGATAGTTTTCATGACACAAGAGAGAGTAGGTGGTACAAATAATGTACTCCTGCCAACATCTGAAATCCCGATTGCTGCAAATTCCATTTTTCTCAGGATTTGCCATGCTGAACTGCATTGACCATCTGTCTGCACTAGCTGAGCAACATGTTAACATGTGTTGTGCCTTTACACATCAGCTCTACAGCATAAGGTGAGCCCATTGAACTTGGAAAGTTGGTCTGCCCCTAGCAATAAAGCTAAAATATCCTTATAAAACTCCTCACCTGAGATACAGAATTGTTCTGCAAATGTTTAGTGTGGCCTTTTACCCAGGATTTACAGGCACTGAGCAGCCCAAGAAAATCTACTGACATGGTTGAAGAGATGTAAAAAAACTCCAGACAGGGGAAAAAAAAAGGGTACCACAAAAGAGATAAACCATCTTCTCTGCAACATATCACCAGATGCAGTCTGCACATATGAGAACTCAAGTAATGCAGAGACATAGACCTAAGCTTTTTTTTTTTTTTTTTCCCCTCCTCCTTTCCATGCAATGGGAGAATAATAAATACAGTCTGGGTGATATCTTGAGCAGCCAACAATGCAAGTGAACTGGTGCATTTTATACTGTGCTATTACAATGTTCAGAAGAACAAGCTCTGTCCATGACTTCCAGTGAATTTGATACCTTTGGGACTACTAAAGACTGGATGGATTTGGTGTCTGGATTGAATTTGCTATGTAATTCGTACAAAGTCACCAGGTAATTTTTTTTGGCTTTGGAGATCTTTTGGCTTCAAAAGAAAGACAGTGAAGGAATAAATGAATATTTTATGAGCAGCTGTAATGTGTATAAGCAAATTTTAATGAAGAAAAAAACCCAACTCAAGAATTTCCCCATCATATAACTTTTTTAACCATATACACAAAATTTTCTTGATTTGTCCTAATGTTCTGTCTTTGATCACCTCTTCAGTGACTTAGCTCTGAAAGAAAGGCATCCTGGTCACAATCAGGATTAAAATATTTTTGAGTGAGGTTTCTCTGGAGAAATAATTTTATGGACTACTATCATGAGAAGAATTAATTAAAATGAGCTACCTACCAGAGGATGAGGTCAAATAAAGTAAGAATTGTCTTGAAGAAAACTTGTATGATTTTTCTTTTTTTTTTTTTTTAATCTAGATAATTTCTTCACTACAGTACACTTCCACATATAACTAGAAGCAGAAATTAGAATAACTTCTATGAAGATGCCAGTGTCTACGGCAAAAGCCTCATCAAATATATCCATTATAATGACTCAAGAAACTGCAAAACTGAATAAGCAATGTAAGAACTTCAGAATTTCCTCAGCTGAACTTCAAAGGATTTTTGTTGTTTTGCTGATCACTAGTAACTCATAAATGAAATTTTGGATCTATTTATCTTTATGAATCAGGTACTGTGCAAAGGTCATGCACTGAAATAGCTCATTACTTTTCCCTTTCAAATGCATTAATGGGGAATCAGAAGGATGGAGCCTGCCACAAAAAAACTAGAAGCATGAGAAAAGAGTATTTGTTGAATAGAAACATTAGTGTTAGTATTTAGACAAGGCAAAACTTTGCTCGGTCCTGTGAAGAACAAGAAAACTTGTATTTTGATTATAAACATTGATATGAATACTAGCCTAAAACTGGAGGCATTGAAATAGAAGATGTATAATATATTGTATATTGCTTTTCTTATAGAGTGTACATTATGTTTCTAATATGGTGACAAGTAAAATCTTTTAGGACAAACTAAAAGGACCTCATTGCAACAAACACCATTAACAGCAGGTCACATTATGAAAGCGAGATGTCAAGTCACAATACAGTGCAGGCACGCTGTTAAAAGATAGTCTGGGGTACTCTGAGAAGGCCATTTTATCCTTCTGCTACCTGTTAACAACATCCCTGCATGAGTTTTGTAAAGTTTTTTCTTCTTGTTTGAGGCCTTCTGTGGCTTTGAAAAAGAGGAGTAAAAAAGGCAAACTGTCCTCAGTTACACTTTGGAAGAATTCTATCACCAAAGTCTACTCAAAAGGAGGCAAAAAGATTAAAATAAGAAGTATCAATAGAAGTGGAACAGAACAAGGCTGTTTTGTTTCCTCTAAAGAAGGCCCAGGCTATTGGCACTGTTTGCATTTGCTAGTAAATAGAAGTGGCTTATCAGGAGGAGATTCAGGAAAGGCATTCACTGATCTCTCTAAGCCTGCAAGATTTACAAATAGCATCTGCTTTTCCATTTCCCAGCAACATACAGAGAAAGACCCTTTGCTGTATGCAGGTCTGTGTAAACAGTTAGACACAAAACAGTAATTTTAAGACAAGAAGAATAAACTTTAGATTACATTTTTTTCAGAAGTTCATAGGATCAACAGCTATCAAGACGTACATTCTGTAATAGGAAGAGCAGTACAAATGTTAAAGCTTTTAAGACCGTATATAGTTCACTGCACACACAATTTTCCCATGGCCTACACATATGGCACATCAAGTTTTTACATAGACTCTTGTTCCCATGGAGGGATTAATACTGAATTCTGAATGTGTTATACTGGTGCTGCAGCCCTGAATAACTTGTTCAATGCCACAGCACAGGCCTGATTAGTACATACATCATGCACTTCAACTGCTCACAGTCAAAGACACAAATGACAGAACCAAATTTACTGGTTTGTTGGTTTGTTTTTTGTTTTTATTTTCAAGTAGGTAAGTCTTTGGTTAGTAATAAATTCAGTTGGTTTGGGGAAGCAATCATAACTGAAATATCAACTTTCAACCAGAGGTACTTACTGGAACTTCCAGACCACTAAGTCTACCAAACAAATCCCAATAAAAAAACTGAAATGCAGCATGTGGTACTTTGTATGGACTCTGCTTCTGTTGGCAGGTGGATTCCTTTGCTGAACAGCTAGTTACAGGACAAGTAATCAGATGCAATTTTGCAAATAATCCCTTGATTTCAGTGTGGGAAGGTCCTGGCTTATAATGCTTTCTGAGCTTTTCTGTTCATGCCATCTGACAGTAAAACTCTAACCCACCCCATCCCTTCCCAGTTAAAACATCACAGGCTGATGTTTTAAAATAATGTTCAGATTTAAAGAGCACCAAAATTAATCTCTTAATCATTAAGTTGACAGAAATCTCTAGGGACACTGCCTTACCTCCTCTGTGTATTACTAATATGGAAATACTCTTATTAATTAGATTATCCTTTGTCTCTGAGAAATTTTGTACAAGCAGGATCAGGTTCTCAAACACCTCAGTGCTCTAAACCCTGATAGAGCTCTAGTACTCTTTAATGGCATCCAAGATTATTTTAATACTAAGCAACTATTGTTGATAGTGCAAGGTTGTAATCTTATTAGTGCAGAATGCTTGTGCAAGTCTCTTCAGATAAGCTCTATAAGACAACACTAAAACAGTATTACAGAACTACAAAAAAAGCATTTTCACCCAGGGGATGGATATTTGTCCATTTCCACAGGACTGCAGGCTTTGAGGTGGTCAGTCTTCACATTTTAAGAGGACCAAATATTTTTATCCAGCATCCAGAACAGAGATAATTGAAACAAGACACGCAGCAATTCTCAGCATTCATAAAACTGAAATTAAAACTGCACTCTATTGAGTTCTGTCCCTTTGGTCTGCTCTCAGAAAATGAACCACCACCAGTGGGTGGTTCATAACCCTTCCTAAAATTCCTACTCCCAGTATAGAGCATCATGAACTCAGGTGAAATCCGTCTTCCTACAATAATCCAAGTTATCTTCACATATATCTGGTCTGTTACTACAGATGTTTGTGACCACCTTAAATTGGAATTAGCCCTCAGATTTTACTTTGGCAACACTGAAATTAAAGGGAAAAGTTGAAAGATACAACTCTAAGGCAGAAAAGTTATTTGTGTTCTAGCATTCCTTTCAGAGGAAATGAAGATGAGCCTGAATGAATCACCAGTTAAATCACCAATTTCAGCTGGTTCCTGGAAAAATTGTTTAAACAATTGAAACATTTTAAAATGACTTTCCATTCACACTTTCTTGAATGTTATGACTCCTGATTAGAAGGGAGAGTCAGAATCACAGTCACAGAAAACTGGAAAATTGTTATCTCTTCTTCTAGGTGAGATACTGCATGCAAAGTTCAATTTGTTCTCAAAGGCTTTGGGAAGAGACTGAACTTGGTAGGCCCAGGCTGTGAATTTCATGCCAATAATACAAGCTTGTACTGCAAAAATTTCTGCTTATTACAAGCTAATCCCACTGAAATATATAAACATAAAGCAGTAGATTATTTTTAGTAGCATTCAGTTCCTTCTCTAAAGTTGGCTACAGAGGCAGAGCAAAGTGGCAAAGACAGTGAGAGGATTATTTGTGGCTGTGAAATTTGTTGGACTCTCCAGTAGAGCTCTGAGAACACCTTAATATTTATGTGTTGCACCCATAACTTGCACAAGCAGAGTACACACAGCCTCTTCAAAACACTATAGGATCCTGCAAAGAAGAACTTTAGCAGAATTTTAGCTAACTAGAAAAGGTCAAACTTCTCTCAAGCAGGAATGTAGTCAGTCCTAGCAGTGGAGCATACCATATTTAGGGGAAAAAAAACCAACAAAACAAACAAAAACAAACAAAACAAACAAACAAACAAACAAAAAAACCAAAAAAAAAAACCAACCCCACCCCAGTTGTCTTATAAGACTTTGCTGGAAAATACTTGTGTCATTAATCTCTGGGCTTTAAAGAAAATGAAGTTTAAAAAGTAAAGGGATGAAGATGGCCATGCTTTTCAATGAAATAAGGATGGATGCTAAAGGTGCATGATTTGGTTTAGGGTAATCCCAAGGGTAGGTGAGAATATATCCAAAATATCTCAAGATACCTATCAGACAATGTCCATATATTTTGTATTATTTATCCCTAACTATATTTCTACAAATTTAAGCAGTCATTTCATGTTCTATAAAATTCAAAGTATGCCATGGAATGCGTAGATAATGCGTAGGACATGAAATGCAGATAACTGCTGGTGCTGCTTGGTCTGACATTTCTGTTCCAGCACTGAACCCTAACATCCTGGTAATAATGGGACACACTGAATACCAGATAAAAGGCACTGATGCTAATTAAATCCCAAAATCAAGATAACTCTTACCTCTTTTACAATGAAGACTTTTGCAAGAACAAAACTTTGCAAAAAGAACTCTAGTTTATAACATATCCAAAAGACAATGAGCATAAACACTTTACAAATATTTTTCACAGTGATTTGCTTCACTGACATAAGTTATTAATTACACCCTACACTTGTCAGTGCCTCAGATTTGAAATGCAGAGATGTTATAACAGGTGTGCAAAAAAAAACACATACTAGAGAAAGAGTTTGTCAAGAGAGTGGTGAAGGTTATTCCTGAGCCATGCATAGGTCAGCTTGTGAATATATAATAAAATTAATTACTTAAGTCATAATAGAAACTGCATGCAACTACTGCCAGCCCTGTCTTCAGCTGAGACTCAGCCTGTACCTGGAAGAATTTTTCACCTTGACCAAACAGGCTGAGTTCCCTTTCTGCATTGGATTGCTGTTCCTTCAGGGTCATACACAGTATGGTGGAATTGCCCTGGTGCAGAAAATAAGTAACTGAAAAAGAACTAAGAATAAAGAAGTGGTTTATTTTGTTTAGTTTGTTAAATCCAAGCAAGAAGGAATATGAACTTGTAAAATCATGGCGCAGAAGAGAATTCTTTAAAATGTAAATATTTGAGGCAATGAAAAATAATTACCACTTTTTACTAAAGATTCACTGAGGTTTGGAAATTTTCTTTCACTATAGCTCCATTATTAGATTTGGGTTTTTGGAGTTTAGTTTTTTATTTTTCAGTTGAATAAATTTAGCAATAAATTATCTCTTAGTCCCTCCTGCGAAGAAGATGGAAATGTCAAGCCAAAAACTTCTTTTCCAGTATTCAAATAATGGCTTTAACATGACTATCAGTGCTTAACTTGTTGTACTTAACTTTGAAGGGACTGTGGCCAAACTGATCCAGCAGATAAAACAGAAACTGCAAGGTGAATTTAGAAGGTGAGTAAAACAGAATTAATACTAAAACTTGTCATTCTTCTTCTTTTTATTGCAATTATTTTTAATGTAATTTTATGGCTAACTTGCTTTCAGTTGAGCATTTTTTTTGCTTTTTTTCCAGATGTTATGATATTTTGATGTGACTTCACCTCTGTCACTGATTTTACCCCTCTCTGGCAAGCCCATAGTGTCTATTTTTAGCTCCATGAGCTTACTAATCCAGTTTCTCTGACAACTGCAATTTGTTGGAAGAAATGACTAGTGTTACGTTTTCTCAGAGCTATGAGCCCATTTGAGAAATCAGCTTCTTAGCTGACCTTTAAAGCAAGTGAGAATAATGTGGCTGCAATTCCACAGGGTTTGGATTTCATTATCACAGCAGTGCGTATGAGATGGGCTGGCCCTGCTGCACAGCTCTGCCTCTGTTTTGTTTTCCTGGTAATTATAGAAACTGTTTATTGTACATGGAAAATCTGCAAGTTTTCTCAGCTCTTGAGGACAATACTATTTCTAATCCTTTTCTCTGGAGGGTAACAGTTCACAGTGTGGAGGACTGCATACTATTGATTCTTCTCAAGAGGAACTTTCCCACGGACCATGAGTGCGGTGAAAATCACCAAAGATGTCTAAGGATCAAAATGGCAACTGCAAACAGAAGAGACACATATGGGAGCAGTGTAGCAGAGTGGCAGCCCTGGTTCTTCCCACTCCTCTCTGGTTCAGAGCCTGAAACAAATTCCTGCCGGAGAATCTGGGTACTCCAAGGGCATCACAACACAAGTATGGCTCAGGAGGGTCAGACAGAAGCTTTAGTAACTATGATCAGAGTGAGAGAATGTCCAGCCAGCACCTCACCCTCTGCTCCCCTTTCTTTAAAAAAAAAAAATTGGCAATGAAAACTTATCATTTCAAAAATATATAAATTTCTGGGATGCATGGATTTATTAAGCAGCTATTCCAAGAAGGAATTGAGCAATAAACAACATGATGGTTTGGAGAGATGGCTCTTGGTGAATACATCAGATAATACACTAGTGCTATCTTAGAGCAAAATTGGGGAGATAACAACAATCACAGATGTTCTTACAACTAGAATAAACCCCCTAGCCAGACTTCTAAAATCTTATATATTAATAATTTTACTGTCACGTCCCTTTGAATCTCTGGCTGAAGCCTGGCCCTTGTCCCAGTGTCTTTGTCTCCATATGTATTTGAAGTTCTATTCTTTACATCTTCTCATTCTTAATCAGCAGTGGAATTTATCTCACCTACAGAATGGCAGCTAATCTGAACCAGTCCTCCACCTCCACACAGTAGTCACTGGGGAGGAAAAAGAAGAGAATAGCTAAGGTAGTGGTTTGTCTCATCCCTAAGACCTTCTCCGGGACAGCTCAATCTTTGAAATGCCAGGATGTCTGCACTGACTGTAAAGGGAAGTGACCTGACTAGCTCAGACCAGACATAAGTTTTAGATGCTTAAATGCAGATCAGCTGAATTTCACTCATATTTATAGCAACTCCCCAAACCCTTGGTGCTCTAGAGGACCCCAGTGCAACTTGGGTACAGTGAGACATAAGAATAATAAGGAATATTCTAGCATCAAAGACATTAATGTCTGCAACTTAGTGATGTCCTGATTTTCAGCAAGTATAAATGTCATGTATTAGGATGGGAGTTCTGTCTAGAATGGGTTTGGTTTAGACTTCAGTAAAAGGCACAATACTGTCCTGACAGTGAGCATATTTAAAGCTTGGCTTTGGGATGCTCTGTATCTCTTACTAAGCTCTGAACAACTGAGTTAAATTTTGGCCTTACCCAACACGATCTGCGTGACATTTCTGCAGAAGCTACTGGGTTAAATACTACTTCCTTGGAAATTTTCTACAGACAACTCTTGGTTGAATGTGCATTTGATAACTCCATATATAAGACTGTTTCTGAAGAAGGAGTGTCAACTGCAGATTATCTCATAGACTTTGTATCTCTTTATTATGTTAGAACAAATTTTCCAAGCTTTCCTTCTGGTTAGGTATTTCTAAACAATATTCACTTACAGAGCAAAGTAATTAAAAAAAAAAAAAAAAAAAAAGGTACTAACATTTATCCCTATATACTTTTAAAAAGACATTCTTACTACCACCTCCAAATTTCCAGTTGGCAAAGTACCTCACTTGCCCCATTTCACATCCAATGTGGCATTCAGTATTGAAACTCATGGAGGAATTCTTATGCCTACCTCCAGAAAAGCCAAATAATACAAATGAGCAGGAGACTTCTTGCATTTTGCATTTAGACATTCTAGATTTTCTTTTTTCCCCACAATTTTTTTCTGTAAGTAGAGATTCAACTCTTACTTAAAATAAAAAACTCTAAAATAATGCATTTCTCATGCAATTCCACTAAAACTTTAAGGATTATAAAGTCTAAAATTCAACCTTATGCCCTCAGAGTTCATGACACTACATGCAATACCCTCTTACACTTTGTATGAATAATCTCTGCATCATCCAGCTTGCAAATAGATGAAAGCTAACATCAGCACCACATCTATCTAAAGCTGCTCTCTCCTACACACAAACTTCACTTTCTTCATATGCTTCTTATTTATACACTTGCAGGACCTACCAGAAGTTTCCAGAGAGGAATGTTTACACACTTAAACACTGACAAGTGCATGGGACTTAGAGGAGGGATTTCTAATTCACATTTCCAAAACTTATTTAGGCATCTAGAACCTCAGGATCATTCAGCAAAGATTCAACTTTCAGAAAGAGGTTGTGTTTAAGCAGAGAAAATGGGATTGAGAAGTATGACCCTTAATGTGAATTTAAAAATTACCTGCTTCTTTTTAGGAAATGCAAATAATCTGAACTGGGAAGCCATGCTTTCAGTGTACAGTTTCAGAATTATTTCAATCAACCAGAAGTGCCATAGAAACTTCTAAAATAAATATACCTGTCAGTACCTCCTTCTTCTTTTCCATACAATCTGTTCCTTCGTGCAATGGCTCACATCTAAAAAAATCTCTCCTTGATGGTTATTTATTCCTAAGCTTGTTCTTTGGCAATAAGTTCAGAAACTCTGATATTGATTTAACAGTATTTTCCAATTTCATTAGGGAAGGAAAAAATAATACCTTAGGGATGTACTGCTAATAAACAAATGCCAAAATAGATTAAACAGTATTTGCCCTCTGTGGGTATTAATCAGTTTTAGCATATATTTACTGTTGTGTATAAAACAGAAGTCATCCATTGTACATACCTGCCTGGTTTATTACTCCTATTTATCATTCCTGGGTATATCTTGCATCTATTACCCCTACTGTTGTTTCTAGGATGTGAGCCTAGTCTTACTTAGTGGGCAGTCCTTTAAAATACCGTTTACATCCAAAACTCTTGTGTAATTTTGGTCTATAGTTCTGATTTTGCTCTTCCTTATTTAAGTGAGTAGCAACATATACTTTTAGAAAACTAAGAAAAAAACACCATCTCAAAAAATCAAATTATTCCATTACATATTCTTCTTCTCTGAGGAAGAGGATGGAAGGACAAACAGTAAATGTCAGGGTGTTATCTCCTATTTAATGTCCTGCTGAAAAGCAATTTGTTAAGGTGATAGGTGCTTTACAGAAGCCTACACAGAAAAGACTAGCATGGCTTTATTTATTGCTTCAAGAGTAGTCATTAGAGAGTATTGCTAAGGAATAATAATAATAACAATAATAATAATAATAATTCTTGTTTTACCTAGAAAACAAGTAGCTCAGCGTGAGACCTTCTGCTAATAGAAAGTTAATTTTGGGCCTACAAATTTACAAAAGCACAAAAAAATGTGTGTTAATGATAGCCTGGCAGCTATCTCTCTGTTCTTCAGAATTTATATGTTATTACCATCTTGACTACAGGATAAGGTTTATGCAGGCATTCTGGCATACAGTTCAGGTGAACATGGCACACAGGTTTTGTATAACTGGGCTAGGAGTTCAAAGCTGAAAACCTTTTCTAAATCACACTCCTAATGGCATCCCAGAGTTGTGGCAGTGCTGGAATCACATGCAAAGGGCTCAGACACTAGGAGAGATCTGCAGGACTGCAGTAGCTAGCCCATGCTCGCAACAGTCACCATGGCTTTACTTATCTTGGAATATGCTTATCTATCCCTCTGACACTTAGTTTGATTCAATTTATTTTGGCCAGTGCAAGATGCTGAAAAGCAGCACAGCAGAAGATCTGAGACATAGCACTTGGGCTGAAAAGAATGTAATTCAGTGGGATCAGTCTCCCTTATTTTGGCCATCTTAAAAAACAAGAGTTCTAGTCTAAGTTTGCCATTTGTGGTCACTGAGAAAGTTAAGAACACTCAAGGATTTAGGCAGCCTCATACTCTTTCTAAAGCAGAAGGGACAAGTGCCTGAAGTGCTTACCTGTCCTCCAGTTTTCAAAAGAAACTTTGTTGGAATCCCAAAGAGGGCCAGACAGCTGAAGGTGCTGCTGCAGCCACGGTAATCAGCTTGTCCCTCTTGACTCATGTTAATTCCACTGCCTCCTTGCTAGCCAAGGAAGACACTTTTTTCTCTGAAATCCTCTTGTTTCTTTTCGTCCAATTAAAACATGCTCAGACTCACTCTGCCTTTGGAAACTAAAATCCCTGGAGCAAACAGCTGGTTTAACATCTGCCTCCACTGATCCTGTTGTTAATGCTGCCAGCAAAGTTGCCACTTTGCATCACACGTATTGGGCTCTCTAATGTGAACCCCAGCCCAGAAGGAAGCAGACTGAGATGCCTCATGCTGTTTTCAGAGGCCATTTTGTTGCTACAGTGACACAGTGACACTAACCTGGACCACGGATAACTGGAGGTCAACCTTGCTAAGCCACAGGAGCAAGTTAGCATCTGCAGAGGTGAATGATCTATTGCCTGTGACTGAATTGCTGCATTCCTCAGTTTCACTCTCACTCTTGCTTTCAAGCATGATTAACAGCCAAGCCACAAAAGATCAATCATGTATATGAGGTTAAACACTTCACAGATTTTTGTTGTAAGCCTGCTCATGCATTGCAAATGAATAACATCGTTAAGGAGTAACTCCTATCTGCACAGATAAGTTTGGTGCTTGTGAAAGCTAAAAGCATGCCATGGGCTGTTAATGCCATGACTTCACCCAAACCCACCAGTGATAACTTGCACTTTGGTCCTTTCACTCTCTAAGGATGTGAGTGCCTGCTGCGTCGCCAGAGCAGTTTTGTCTTTGCTGCAAGAAGAGTAAGATCAGCCCTTTAACCCCAGTTATTCTTTAGATATAAGCAGCCGTGTCAACAATACATGCCAATTAGGACAACAATAGGAATTATTCACTAGATCACATACAGTGTGCTAAGGGAAGGTAAGTGGCAATCTTTTGGAGAGCAGAACCCTGACAAGAGCAGGACATAGCATGCAAGATGGTGGAATTATTAACTGCAGCAGAAGCCGATCAACTCCTACTTGTTGAGTCTACTGCACACTCAGCATCTTCAATTCATCCATAGCTTCTCCTGTCACTGGCACCCTCAGTCCTGTACAGCATTATGAATAATGTATTAACTCAAGGGAAAGGGACCAACTGTCTCTGAGTTTGACAAGCTTCTTGTTTTGTTGCTAATTTAAGCACACTGCTATTTCCAATACTACATATGCACAATTTGCAAAAGATCACCAGACTTCAGAAAGGAAGCCAGAAGCTCTGAGACTGCATTAGGACAGGAAATTAGCTCTTGTAAGGTAGTGGCCTGAGACTAGAAGAGGAAAACTCAGATGTCCTAAATTTATAATGCTGCTGCTGGATTACAGAGTCCTTGACAGGACAGTCTGCACGAAGCATGTACATGTGACAGCTTGTGGCAGCACAAGAATCAGAAAGCTATCCAGCAATTGAACTTGCCCCAACAACCAATGCAGGTCTCAGACTCATTTACAATTCAACACAACAGTTTTGGGTGCTAATTTTGTTTCCATTCATTTTTAAATTGCCTGAGAGAAGGATCTATTCAGAGCAAGAAATATACAATATGAAATTGGTTATCAGAGTTACATTTTAGTGCAGTGCTGATACTTTTAAATGCATGCAGCATATCGTGGTTTTGCACTGCTTGCTTTATCCAGGAAAAAATGGAAGATAGACATTAAACATGCCCAATCCTGATGCTGGGCTTGGTAGAGAACACTGTGAGCAGAGGAGGAGATAGCACTGTGAAATGGCCCATGCACATACATGAACTGCCATGGACTGTTAATGACACAATCACAAGGATTTCTTCAAAGCAGGTAATTCCCATACAAGATTTCCAAGGTTTTAAGAGCTTTGGTTTTCTGTTAGTAGAGGCATGTTTCCAGGCTTCAAAACAGACTCAGATCTGAAACTGAATGTGGGAATGAGCAGAGAAGCCAAAACCACAAACACAGTTAATGACTATTGGCTCTCTAGAATTAAAAATGAAATATCCTTTGGGATCCTGCAAGAAAACCACACTTTGAGAGTCCTGGCTTAGTAGCAATTCTCCCATGCAGAGGCTTTTGTCTTTGAATGGCAAATTTTACCAGAGGGATGCAGAACAAAGTTTATCCACCACTCTACCATTTCATCACTATTTCCTTTTTGCCCTGAGTTCATGATCTCTATGAACTGCATCACAGAAAAGCCTGCATGATGGGGAGCTTCAAGCAGATGGAAAAATCTGACACAAGATCTGTAAAAAGTATTTTGGAGAAATGACTGTGGACTCTCTTTACTCTGGCCTCCTGATTTTTGTACAATCAACTGGATACAAAGAGATTGATGAACCCAGCTAGGGGAGTCCTCATATCACCTTCCCTTTGCCTTGCACATGCAATACAAAATAGATCTCCTCCCTCTCTCTTCAGAGAATGCAGATTTGTTCTGCACAGAAACTCAAGACGGCAGATGCGGCTTCTTGCAGCTACGTGAAGAAGCACAAGAATGTAAATTCTTACCCAGAAGCACCAAATATCATCTGTTTTATAGGAAGTAAAATGTTGAAAGAAAATTCCAACTAGAGTGTATGATTTCTGTAACTATTTCAGCACCTCTAACGTCTCTATCTCATCATCTCAAGGTACACAACTCTGAGAACCTTTCTATTTAAGATGACAATGCCAGGAAAATGAGAACATTTTCCCTATCACTAAAAGTAAGTGTTGTAGGAGAAATGTTGAGTCTGACTGCCACCTAATTGACATGACAACAACAATCCTAAGAATAAGTTTCATTTTACTTTGTAAAGGTGCCTAACAAAATAAGCTTGTGACCTAACATGAAAGGCACCAGATGCAACTACTAATTTAGAAAGTGCTGAGAATTTGTTTTTTCCTCACATTGATATAGAAAAATGTCCCCAGAGAGCCCACACTATTTTCATTATCATCCCTCATCATAACACAACATAATACCTAGCATCTGTGCTGCAGCTCTAGGTATGTTAACTTTGCGTAAGCTTATGAAAAATAAAGACTGTATATTTTTATACAGTCAGTGTATCCTAATTTTGGGAGCTAGATGATTTATTTACAAACACTACCAATGTATTTGTGGTGATACCAATTTTAAGTTCTCACACAGATTTCTCTGATTTTAAATCTCCTTATACAACAAAAAGTCTCTGAGAGGATGAGGATGGTGATACAAACTGGTTTTGACTGCTTCTCCAATTTGCTAATAAAACTAGCATTTATCCATCATTCGCTATGAAAATGTTTCCATTGTTTCCAATGTTTCCAATGGAAACATTTCTAATGTTTCTATTCCAGGTGCAGAATTAACCTAGACATTTCTTATTAGCAACTGTAAGAGACAAGTTGTTGAACTACAAGCTTTAGATCTAAACCTCTAAATTCGTACTCTTCACATAGGACTGTGGGTGGTGAGAAGAGAAAGAGCTTGGCCAGACAGGTTGAGACTGACATCAGCAACTACTGAACAATGAAGATGTGCCAGAGAAGTCAGACTGAAATCTAAATCTACTAATGGATATTTGAAAAAAATTCACTCTAGGGAACTAAGTAATGACATCCGAACGATGGATTTATTAGCTGGGAAGTGGCATTCCTCTTTCAGTGGTGAAACATGAACTTTGGTCCATTTATGATTCTTACACATCTTACTGGTGTTCCCAGGGTAAAAAAAAATGCATGCTACATCCTGTCTATGTGCAAACTAGTGGCTATAGGCTAAAACTTGGCATCCTGTGCAGGAAATTCTCAGAGCCGTAATCTGGATGGAAATTTCAGAATCTCAAGCTTGAACTCTTTTTTTTAAGTAATTTTTCAGATAGGCCACAGAATTCCATATGCTGTTTATCAAGGTAGATAAAAAAATAATTCCTCTAATCCCAAGAACCTTCTAATACCAACGAAGAAATCTTTAACATCAGTATCCCACTAGAAAGTGAGGGAATTTGCATTAAAATTGTTTTCTAATGCTAATTCCTATGCATCTACCCTCCTCAGACAAGGAAAAACTCACCCCTGCATAATAAGTTCAGACATTGTCTGCATGCTGGAGTCGGTAAAGGTTCAAACAGTCCTTTCTCATCCAGGAAAGGAATCTTGAAACATATTCAGAACAGGCTAGCAGTGCCATGCTGACTCACAGGGGCTACAGGTCAAAGGGAAGAAATAGAGAACTGTTACTCCCTTCACAGAAAGATCCAGCTGGATAATCTTGAAATGTGGTGAAAGTTATTTACTTATTTGCAAGAGGTGCCTCATGTTATGACTACTAAATCCATAAGCAAACTCATTTCTGTTCTGAATTAGAGAAGTGCAGAGTATCTTATGCCTCCTAGCTGCTGCTGAGTCTTATCTTTGATTAAAGTGATTAAAGGCCCACGTACAGCTAAACCACTTTGGAATCACGGCACAGATTTTAACTAACAATCTGCAAGCTCACAACATCATCACCACCCCAGTATGATCCAAAGGCAGCACACCCACACAGGAAAACTGACCACCACTACTTGTGAAAAAGAAAACCTGAGAAATAAAAATGCCTGAAAATGTTCCAGATACACATCTTGCTTGAACTGGATTAATTGAAGACAATAATACTGTATAATTTTCAAAGCAAAGAATTGGCCTTTTTTGTTTGTTTGTTTGGTTTATTTTTTAATTGTCTTGGACTAACAAAAATCTTGAACTGCCATTTGCATTAAACCTGGAAAAGTACTGCCTTTCCCTTTTTGGTGTTTTTTTGATCTTAATTAGAGAAAGCAGAGGACCTTCAGCCAATCCAACAATAGAGGAAGTTTCCAAATGAGCAATCATTATTAACAGAATGGATTTTCAACAAGCAATCTGGACTAGAAAAACAAGTCCTATTAAAAATTTGGAAAACCAGCATCCAGAGAGCTTCCAGTATCTGTTGGAATTTCTCAGAATAAGTTTTCACAAGATCAAATTTTTAGAGAAGTTCAGGGCTCCTACTGAAAATCAGTTTGGCTGATAATTTAGAGGGAAAACAAGTCCCATGGAAGAGAAATTTTCTGTCTGTCTACACATTGATCTTATGCACTTTGTTTACATTGTCCTGGAAGGACTGGACAATACAACACTGTAGGATAAATACTGAATATTATTTTATATAAGAAGACAGTGCTCATCTAAAGCTTTAGCATAAAAACCAGATAAAGTGATTTACCAAATTGGGGTTTATTCTGTAAATATTGATTTTTTTTTTTTTTTTTTGTTGCCAAGAAACTCAAGAAATGCCTTCTTCCCACTTGTATAACAATAAGGTTTGATAGGTAGAATGTATGAAATATACAGTAACTTCTTCTGAAAAGATATCTAAGCTCACTCAGCTTACAGTATGTGGAATGTAATTATCCAGAAAGTGAAATATGTATAAAAATAGGTAAAATTCCTACAATATTTGTATTGAGTCATAATTCCTCCTGCCACGAAGGTTACAATAGCTCTACAGTATATGTATGAAATGCTTGTTCATAAAGTTAAAAAACATCAATACCTTACTGAAGAACACATTAAATATAGGAATGCATAATCAGAACTGACTCTCAATTCTGCTTAGCTGGTGCAAATCTACAGAGAACCATCATCCTTTCTGCACAAAACAAGACCAACCTCTAATCTGAGAGTTGGGGTTTTGTTTTGTTGTTTTGTTTGCCATAGAGGGGCCAGACTGAAGTTTATGAAAGAAATTCCTCTGGAAGTGGAAGTACATTGTTTAATATTTTTTCCCTATCTCCACTTTGTTTACTGATAGCAGTTACCCACCTTTTAAAATGATTATTGCCTGACATTACATGGAGCTTTTTACTGCCTGTTCAGAAGAAGGCAGTGAAACACAAAGAACCTCCAACTCCCCTGTCATGACCCAGTTCTGGGCTTGTGCTTTTTTGACAAGTCTTTGATCTGCAGCAGGCCTCATAGGCTGGTCTCCCGGAGGAACATGGTGCCGATGTTGTAAGAGACCTTTCTCACTCTGGCAGATGTGATGGAAGGTTTTGGCGGCTTCTGACCACTTCTGACCTCCAGGAAGTAACAGATCCCAGGAATTTCCTTTGGAAAGTTTTCTGGAAGCTCTTCACGGGAACGAGGGATAAAAATAAAATTTTCTTCCTTTTTCAAAAGCCTGGAGAAAAACAAAACACAGTGATATAAAACACTGTAAAACATATTCCAGAAATGCCTCTTTGGAAGAGGTGGGTCCTATGTGCAACCAAGTAAAAAATTAGTTTACACTACTACATAGCATATAGAGAAATTCTAAGTTATCTATATGACTTATCATCATTAACTTCAAGGAGCTCTGTTGACTGAGATCAGCTGAAGGGATGGCTCAAAAAAACATTATCCGAAAATCAGTGTCAGCATTCAGAAAATAATGTACCAGAAAGAGAACCAAATTCATAATGACGTTGTCCAGAACATATCATTTAGCTTAATTAAAACACTTGTGTCAGTCTGGCAGAAATTAACATTTCAGAGTGATGGCTACCACCAGGTTTCCCGCTGGAAGGCAGGTATGAAGGTGACAGTGCTTGGAAGCTCTCCCAGATAAAAGCAGGGAGGTCAGCTTGTGCTGACTTTCAGTACTACTGTAGTACTCAGTATTCAGTACTACTCAGTACTACTTTCAGTACTCAGTAGTACTGATTTTCACAAATTGGGTTCAAATACAGCAAATACAACTTCAGCAGCAGAATCAAATCTGACACTATTCATCAACAGTACCCATGGGTTTAATCTAGGTTATTTGGTTGGGTCAGAAAGGGATCCAGGTTCCCTGGACCCACAAAGCCATCTTCTGGCATGCCTACTCAGCTGGAACAACACCACAGACCCCACTATGCTGCCTGCTGCCATTTGCCATCTTAGTCATGGTGGAGAAATCCCTGTCTGGTTAGACCTGAAAATTTAAGGCATCTTTATCATGTATCTTCCCCAGAACTAGCTGGACTTGTAAAATAAAGGAAGTAACTCTAGACATTTTCTTTTTGTTTCCAAAGTAAATTAAGTTGGTGGTATTCAATCCCTTGCAGCATTGAAAAAAAGCAGTTTTGAGACAATGGTAAATTCTGAGCACAGCTGGATATACAAAAGTACTCTTCCTCTTTTCCCTCCAACAATATTTATTCTTTCTCTCAATCAGTTTGAAGTTCAAAAACATAATTGGGAAGAACGTTATAAGTTTCCATGGAATTTTGTAATAGGTAGATTATTTAATGCCTGCAAAGTTCATTTCTGGAAAGCAAATGAATGAATGAATCCTCTTGCCAAGAGAATTTTGTAGGGTTATCACTATATGCAATGGCACTTTCTCCACAGAGTATTTTTCATGAATTTTGCGTGAGACAGTCTGTGTAAGCTCATTGACATATAAAGGCATTTTCTTTCCAGCTTTTAAATAATCACTTGGTTATAAAGCAAATAAAGTTTTTGCCTTTGAACTTCTGTGGAGAACTTTATTTTGCATGTGGTTTGAAGGTTCAGAAGGTCAATTTTATGATCAAAATACTGCAATATTTTCTAAACTGCAGGAATGTTTGTAGAGGCCTTTACAGAGAAGCTTCTCTTATAATCCCTGCAATGTTTGCAGTAAATATTTGGTGTGTCCAAACTACAGGCTTAATATGCTGAAATAACTCTTCACAGCTTCCCCAGTTAGATTTCTGTATGTAACAGCTGAAGTCTTGAAACTTTCTGAGCTAATCTGTAAGCTTTCACTATAGCCTCTCTTCCCCACACTGGCTATTCACTATGGAGCATCTGGCCTTCCTAAAAATCAATGGTTTCCTCACCAGAGTCTAACATTATGTAATTTTAATGACCGTTACACAAATACAAAATGGTAAAATATATCTATATGCTTTGATTAAGGTCAGGGCTGGCACTAAGATTAGTTGATTTTTTATAGTATTTCCTCATAGAAATAAAAAGTCCAAGATATTAATTACCCATCTTATTTTCACTTGTTTTGTGAATTTGTAGCTTGGTTACAATTAAATGCTCCCGGAGTGATAGACAATTAGTCTTTTAAAGATTCCTCTACTGCTGTGGCTTGTGATAGACTCCACATGCCTGTATTAGATGCTTGAATCAGACTCTACCCCTCAGAAATTGTCCAGCTGACCTTCATAGGGATAACATTTCAGCTCTCAAGCAAGCATGGAAGGAAACCTTTGTTACCAAATGTTAATGGAAGTTACTTATGATTACATTCTATCCTACTTACTTTACTACTTCTAAGGGAAACAAAACAAAAAAAAAAAATCTGGCTCAGATTAGTACTATTAAAAAGATTTTTATCATGATGACAATTACCTCATTACCTTTCTCCTAAAGAACAGGTTCTTCAAATTCCTTAAATAATATGTTGGTCCTGACACTTGGCTTCCCAGTCTGAGAATGAGATCATAATTCAGAAATTGCTTCTGATTTCCTCTATCTTTTTGTATATACTAAAGAAGCAAGTTATCTGCAAATTCTCAGTGCATATCAGTGAGGATATTTTTCTGCAAAATTTTCCCTCTTACCTTTAGGCCTTCTGTGATGTTAAAAAGAAATCAATAGCAGTTGATGGCCATGGCCATTTTTAAGTTCATTGAATTCCTTTTTATGGGTACAAAGAACACCAAAAGATCCTTGTGCCAAGCAGGCGAATGAATAGTGCACATCCTCAGGGATGCGCACTGAGCCGCGCTGTGGTGGGCTGAGCTTGGCTGGACACCAGGTGCCAACCAAGCCACTCTGTCCCATGCAATCCATTCTTTGCACTTCCTCTCTGGTTCAGGAGAAGATCCAGTGTAAAACCTTCTGCTCTGGAACATTTCCTGGGTGCTGGCACCCAGTTCAGGTTGGTTGCCTCACCTTGTGGACTGTTCTTAGAGCACTCCTTTGTGAACGAGACAGGCTGCCAGTTGTGAAAGCGTGAAAGAACAATCTATCCTGAGAGCACAATCTAATCCTTCATCTTCAGGAAATTATGTTGCGGTTTTAACTGTATAAAAAATGTCCCCAGACTGTCCCATATTCAGAGAGCTTAAACTGAAGTTACACAACCTCCACAGTTCAGGAATATTCATATAACAACTAGTCTGAAAATATCCCAAAGCACTTATCTTAGCTGTATTTTCTGAATCACTTCTGTGAATTTCCCCCCAGGGCACTATTGCAAAGGATATTTTTATAGTCAGTTTTTCACAGGTTCAAAATTCTGGGTTCCACTCAAGTAGTTGGATTTATAATTTACAATTCAGAGCTCAAATTGTGAGGGTCAGGGTACTCAGGCATTCCTATAAATTGCCTGGAATTAGGTCTGCCCTCAGCTTGTCTTCTTCGTTCATGTTCAAGGGGAGGAAGAATTTCTTAAGCAGTGATTTGCAGTTGATTAACTTTGACACCTTCTCCTCCTAACCTGAAATCTTTCAGAGCTTTTAAAATTCTTGTTCTGTCCTTTCCTTGGTGGGAATGTTCTTGCTTTCAGACAAAAAGAGATAGTGTCTGAGAATTATCCTATTTTTTTTTCTTTTTAGTTCATTAATTTAAGAAAAAAATTCAGGAGGTCTGTGTGTGAATGAAAATTGGGATCATACTTAGTGGGAATCTTGAGGAAGCTTTTAAAAGCTGTAGCTCTTTCCTCTCATAGATTAAATGATACAGAAATTATATTTCAAATTATCTTGGCAAGAAACAGTAACCTCTTCATCAGTGTTTCTATATTCAGAAAACCATAGAATCACTGAATATGCTGTAGTTGGAAGGGACCCATCATGAATATCAAGTCCAGCTCCTGGCCCTGCACAGGATCATCCCCAAGCTTCACACCATGACCCTGAGAGTGTTCGAATGCTTCTTGAACTCTCTCAGGCTCGGTGCTGTGACCACTTCCCTGGGGAACCTTTTCCAGTCCTCCAACCACCCTCTGGCTGTAGCACCTTTTCCTGATATCCAGCCTAAACCTCTCCCAGCTCAGCTTTGTGCCTTTTTCTTGATTTCAGTCATAAGACTGAAGAGATCAGTGCCTGCATCTCTGCTTCCCCTCATGAGGAAGTTGCAGATTGCAATGATGTCTCCCCTCAGTCTTTTCTTCTCCAGGTGGAACAAACTAAGTGATCTCAGCCACTTCTCATATGGCTTCCCCTCCAGCTCCTTCACCCCCCTTTGGACACTCTCGAATACTTTAATGTCTTTTTTATATGGTGGCACCCAGAACTGCCCCCAGCACTGGAGGTGAGGCCGCCCCAGAGCAGAGCAGAGCAGGACACTCCCCTCCCTTGCCTGGCTGGCCATGCTGTGCCTGATGCCCCCCAGGACAGGGTTGGCCCTCCTGGCTGCCAGGGCACTGCTGGCTCATGTTCAACTTGCCACAGACCAGGACCCCCAGGTCCCTTTCCACAGTGCTTCTCTGCAGCATCTCATTCCCCAGTGTGTACACACAAGCAGGGTTGCCTGGTTCCACTTGCAGAATCTGGCACTTTCCCTTATTAAACTTCATATGGTTCTTATGGCCCACCCCTCTAATTTGAGGTAATAAATTGCTCATCTCTCCCATTTCAACTAACAGAGACTTGCTACTGCAGAATTGTTACAAAGCCCTCTATACTGAGCGCATGTTTCCCATGATGATTCTTAACTCCCTCCATGCCTACAATTTTTCCTTTCATCTCTCAGAGATGTCAGACTTCTGAACTTTTCACTGGATTGCTGAATCAGAGCACAAAAGCACCCACTCAGAACTAAACTTCAATGTGAACTTTTCTTTAGGAAAATTGGTCTGTATAGACCAAAATTGAACAAAAGTTCTAAGAGGAATACAATGCTCTACAAGGAGACTATGCCTGCACTCCTAAACATAGTATGCACCATTGGCCAGGTCAATCTTCCATAAATCCTATCACAGGGAACGATATCAAGAAAAGAAAAAGGTTCTTTCTGCCCTAACTCTAAAAGTACTGTAAAACCTTTAGCTAACCTTGTTCACATCAGCCCATTAATCAGTATAATTAGGAAAATCTAATTTTAATGGCTTTCCAAACAGGCTATGAGAAAACTCTCCTGTTGGACTGCCGCTCCCTTCCTCCGTGGCAACAAGTGTTGCTTGCTTTGCCAACTGGGCATCCTCTTGATAAC